TGGCTGATACAGCAGAAGGCTGCGCTGCCATTCAGTGAGACCTGGACAGACTGGAGAGTTGGGCGGAGAGGAACCATATGAAACTCAACAAAGGCAAGTGTAGGGTCCTGCACCTAGGGAGGAATAACCCCTGGCACCAGTACAGGTTAGGGGTTGACCTGCTGAAAAGCAGTTCTCTGGAGAAGGACCTGGGAGTCCAGATGGACAACAAGTTAAGCATGAGCCAGCAACGTACCCTTGTGGCCAAGGCAGCCAATGGTATCCTGGGGTGTATTAAGAAGAGTGTGGCCAGCAGGCTGAGAGAGGCTATGGGCTCCACAGTTCAAGAAAGACAGGAAACTACTGGAGGGAGTCCAGTGGAGGGCTGCAAAGATGATTAGAGGACTGGAGCATCTCTTATATGAGGAAAGGCTGAGAGAGCTGGGTCTGTTTAGCCTGGAGAAGAGAAGACTGCTCTAGGTGAACCTGCTCTGGCAGCGGGGTTGGACTAGATGATATCCAGAGGTCCCTTCCAACCCCTACCATTATGTGATTCTGTGACCAGAGTCTTGAGTGGACAGGAGCATGTCCATCCTGTGCCCACTAAGATGCCTAGGGAAGCATCTAAACTTCTTTTCTACCCTCGCTACATTCTAGGTAGCTGGCTCTAGACAGCTGAAAGTGCATTTAAGCAACCAGCAGCTTTGGGTTGCAGCCAGGCTTCCAACTTCCAAGCTGCTTATGTCTCCTATTGGAACCAAAGTATTCTAGTAGAGATATTTTCTTCTCCTTCTTAAGATTATACTTTACAAAGTCTGTATCACTGGCAACACTGCAGGCTAATTCAGAGCCCTAAGTGAACTAGAGCACGCATTATATCATGCATGAGAAGTGAAGTACAACAAAAACTTTCACTACAGTTCTCCTTGACATTGTTGCCTGTTGGATTTTCTCTCAAGTTAGGACCAAAATACCTCAAAACTGGTTTTCTTTGCTACTGCACCTGAGAAAACAGATTACACTATCTTCCCCACCCCCCCACCTCTCCTTAGCATCTGTTGTCTTCTGATGTGAAAAGCTTTTTCAGAAGGTTCCAGCACCACCTAAGCAAAATCTCCCTGAAACCCAATTACGCCTGCTGCACTACTGGCAGAGCGATGTCTGGTCTGGCCTGGGAGTTGCTGCTCCCATGGGAAGACAGCAGGTTAAGGCCTCCAGCCAACACTCTTGCCAGTGCTACCAAAAGATCAAAAGCATTTTGCCTGAACAAAACAATAAATGCATTATTTCTCTTACAAGCAGGCAGGAAAAATCCAGAAGGCATGCTGTAAACATCTAGTCAACGTTGTGCTCAAAGTAAAAATGAAAAAGTGGTCTTTAAACTGCATCTGTATTGATTCATCATTGGATGCTGCCAATTCCGGACTGCTCTCATCCTCGTCCAAACAAACATTCCTTTATCCTCTTTGTTCCAAAGTACATAATGCTCTTTCCTTAAAAAGGAAATTCTTAGTTTACCATATACAATATGGGAGCTACAAAAATGGGCTAAATAGAGGCTTATGTTAACAGTATAAGCTCCCCCCTCATTTAAAACAATAAATTATTTCTAACATCTAGGAAAATCAGTCACTGGTTTTCTGTATGGGCTCCTTTTCCTTGAGCGCAAGTTAACTTTTTGCCTTTGTTTCAGTCAAATAATTAAAGCACAATACTGTATCATTTGGATCTTTAACTAGTCCTCTGCTCGCTGCAGGCCAAGTTCTCTAGGCTGGTGAACACTGTTCTAGCTACATAAAACGGCTTTCTATTTAACCACAGGAAGATTCTCCATATGTTCATGACTCTTCCAGTGGTACAGACATTCCTCACATTTGCTCCTATATTTATTTTTAAGAAGAAACTATTGTCATTAAATATACCTGGGTATTCCATTCTTCTTCTCTACAATGATATCTGTAACATCAGAACGATGATCATTCAGCTGCTTATTACAAGACATACTGTGGGTGTTGATTATATAAATAATGGAGTCTTGAGAACCGATCCACACTTGACTCTGTTCTACCATGATCATACAAGTCTGGGGGAGAAAAGCAGGATTAAATAAAATCTAGAAGAAAAATCACTCTTTAACGTAACATGGAAACGAGCTATACTAAGATGCTGCAGTTTTCTGGTGATTACAGAAAGAGACCAAGACTTGGCACTCCAGTATTCTATCCGTTGCTCTGCTCTATAAATAATGAGAGAGGACAAATCTCTCGGCTTACTTTACCCTTCAGTAAATAGGACTAATACTGTATCTTGGTAACTGACTCAAAGCTGTATTTCCTGGCCCAAAGTTAAAGTTACAAATGGTATCAGAGGAAACCACAAAAGTTAATGTATTTCTCTCTCCTGGATTGGAAGCCATCCTAACCAACCGATATAAACGTACTTCCTACTTCAGTTGGAAGTGGTGTCTAAGAAAATACTGTCTTCTCCTCTACTGTCTCCACTACGCCTTTGCCCCATTCAAAAGCTCCTCACTTCTCTCCCTCCTGAGTCCCATCAGTTCCAAACTTTCCTCCTTTCTTTCTCTTCTTTAGAATAAGTCAGCATCCAACTCTTCTCCTGGATTTCCATCTTCCCTCCACCCAGCTCTTCGCCATCAGTTTTACCTCTCTCTTTTTGACTCTATCCTACACTCATCCACAGCCATGTTTCTCAGCTTTCACACAAATAACCTAACCAATCTCTTTTCCTGTGTGTTCTCTCTACTGCATGTCTTCCACTCAGTCTGCAGCTCTGGTTCAGTTTCCCCTTTCATTCAGAGAGTTATTCTTTTCAGGTGGTCTTTCACAAGCAACTCTCTTTAACCTCCTGACTGAGTCATCTTCTTTTAGAGCACTATTTCTATTTCAATATCATCTACCTGGTTTCCTTACACCTTTCCCCAGTTTCCAGGTCTTCAGCACAGGTGACTTTTCATCTATTCTTAGGGCTCCCCTTCTCATCTTTTCTTTATATTGATTCTCTTATTCCTTCTCCTCAACCATTTCAAACCTGACTTCCTGCCCCAAGAACCCAGGCCATTAAGCCAACAGGCCCTCCCAATATACAACCCATCAATTCTCACCAGTTGACTAGTTTAATTATGAATCAATTTTCTCTCATTTCCCTTTTTCTCAAAAATCTCCATTTCTCCAAGTTAACTGAAGCCAAAACAACTCAAGTGTCTTTCTACAACTTTTAAGGAAGGACAGCGATTCAGAGTCATACAGGCCATAGCAACAAAAGCACCAAGCTAAAGCAGCAATTGTGACATGCATGTCAGTCTTACCAGTTTAGAGCGGCCCATTTTGAAGCAGTGTTGCTGAATAGACCAGGTAGATGCATCAAAGACCACCACTTTCCCCTCATTTAAAGCACACCATAGTTTCGGATGAGCATTGCCAGGTCTTTCTGAAGGGTCAAGATGCCCTAGAAATGAAGCAGAGAAGATGATAGAGGTAAAAGAAAATTAACCACTTTTGGAGACATGTGGGAAAACCACTATTAGGCAGAGCAGCTTTCTAATGAAACACATCTGTGTTCTGCAACTTACACCACCAGGTAATGAATGATAGAGTTTTCACTATGAATTCGTGCTCATTCTCGTATATTTGTTGAGCTCACCTGATGATTTAATCTTACAGTTAAAAGTTATTCAGAGCAGAGATCTTTTTCGTTGGTGACTACATACTTAGCTAACTGGGAGGCTTTTAAGCCCTATGAAATACGACTAATAAATCCACTCATTGTGTCTGCTCCATTAGAGCTCCACTTAGAAGCCTCATACTAAGAAAGAAAAGCACCACTGAACCCACCACCACTCACCCACATAAGAGTTGCTCCTGCCTACTTTCTTAACTTTGGAATTCCTTTAACTTTCCCCTTTTGTCTCAAATTGCTCAACTAGGAATTACAGATGAACATACATCAGAAGACTAGTAAGGTTATGAAGTTAAGAGTTAGGAACTTCTAGAACATATCCGCTACCTAAATTCATGCCCATTGCATGATTATTTTTTTTTCCTTTCTTTCTCCAATGCTTTTTGAATTGGTCAGATATAAATGTGCGAAGTATCATGCAAAAGCTCGCAAGGAAATTGATAATGCTTTCATCAAGGATGGACTTAAATTGCATGCAATGAATAGTACATTAGATCACATACTATACAATGGGAGTCACGGGCATATAGGTCTGGCTGGGATTTCAAGAGGTGGTACACTATTCCCTGCACTGTGCTTCAACCAAACACCCCCATATGACTCTACTGAAAAATAAAATATAAAAATCGATATCAATCAATGGTGGGGCATCATTCATCCACCCTCCTCAATAAATAAGGCAGAAGCCTTAATGGGAAATCATCACATTAACACATAATTGAAGTCTATTATAAGGCATATACACACAGGAAGGCAAATAAAGACTGTGAAAGCTATGCCTTCAAGTATCTTAATATGCAATATCATTGTTCTTTTTTAATGATTTTCTGGTTTAGTATTCAACACACAACCAAAGCATGTCAGAATGTGAACAAGATCAGGCAGTCATAATACCAGGTGTTATGAGATAACATGCTTTATAGGCTAATTAAAGCTGGGCTAACATAAAGAAAGCGATATATCATCTTACCTGGTGTATAAAGCAAGACATCTATTGCCTGTGGAAATGTCTCACCAGCTGAGGGGTTGATCTTGTGCTTTAATGTCTCTGAAGTTGTTTTGGGGACCATCATAGGCACTAAAATAGATTTTTAAAAGGTCATGAAGTGCACACTTAAGCCTGAAATAGATCTATAATTCTTATGAAATAATAATTCTGCACCATTTATTCACATTTCTCACTTTTCTTTCCCTCTAGCCTTAGCTGACTAGGAGAGCCCAAACACCATTTGTATGAATTCTGGTAGCAGGAGCATGCATACAACATGCAAGCAGTCTAAACAACCAAAACAAAACCACAGCATCCAACACGGAGACATACACACCAACTAAGGTTCTGATGCACAGAAGCAAAAAAAAACCCCAAACCTTAAGCCTTCTATTAATACTATTTAATAAACTAGCTCTGTGAAAGTGCAATCAGACTAACATCTTTTTACATTTCTACAGATAATCAGTTTGAAAACCAGAATATAAACAGAAAGAGCTGAGACAGATGATGCAACAAGAGCAGTCTTTGTAGCATTGCCATGTGACTGACCTTCATTTTTCATCCTGTCAAAATAAGACAGTTTAGAAGCTGCATATATGGTTTTGGAGGACTGCAGGGCACCAACCACAGCATCCATCAGGAGAACATTTGTCAGTGCTTGCTGAATATACTGAGGATCCTAAAGACAAAAGTCTTACTGTAGTTTATCTATTGCTCATTATTTTTACAAGTCTCCACATTCAACGATCACAATGCACATCATGCTTAGCACAAGCACTAGCCAGTTGCTGCCCTGCAGCATAATTCATCCTACTTGCAGTCAAACTCCGCTCCCACATCACGCGTTCCACTCCCAAGCAAGGTCATGGAGCAGGGAGCCAGCATTAATTCAGTACACTGAAAGAAGTATTTCAGATCTGGCACAATCTTGATACAGGATGTGCAAACGAAACCACGTGAATGGCACTGATGGAAAACATACAGCAGACACAGGATGGATACCCATGTTCAGGCTGGATCTTTCTTCGCGGGAGAGAAGGACACATTATGCTTCATCTTGGCTAAAATGATTCTAATCCTTCCTGAAGGACTACCAAGCTACATTTTCACTATTAAATTCAGCAGTCACGAAGAATTATGTGGTTTAAAAAGAAACCTTGCTTGCATGATCCTTTTTCTCAAGGTTTCTGTGGCAGAAGAATACATCTTGCTCTATTAATTGAAAGGATCTATAGCCACCAGAGTTCCAGCATGGCAAAACTCTTTCTATACATTATATTTTGAAGCAAGGTAGGGAAAATTTTCTGTTAGTTAGGAGCACTATTCTTAAACATTGTGAACTTAAACTATTTCTCAAAACTAGTGACTAAATTAAAACTTCCATGCCAACGCATGGATGCAATCTCTCTTTTTTCTTTCTATTATTCCAGAAGTATTGTTTTTAGAAATAGCAGCAAAAATAAAGTTTTATTACTTAGCTAATGTTTGCTGAAACCTAGAAATTCTAAAGTTGATGCATGAACTATTTAGAACAGAGACAGAAAGCACATACTTCATACTTATTTGGTTAAGAATTCCCATATTTATACCTTGTGATCATCCGCCATTTTCTTTCCAGCCCACATTTCTTTCACTATCAGGTACCAGAGATCACACTCAGATTTAAGGTTAGCTTCAAAGACTTCTTTTTTAGATAATGTTTTAATCCTCAGAGTAGGTATTCTCAAAAGAAGGAAAGCTACAGTTGTGCTCTTAACATCCTGGAAATGTAGGGAA